CATTGTCATGTTGGAAAAGTGCATGACGACCAAGGGCCTGGAGTGATGGTGGCATCTTCTTTTTCAATATAGAGCAGGACGTCTGTGAATTCATGATACCATCAATGACCAACCATTTCCCAACGTATTGCGATCACTGGCTGTTAAATTGATGACACACTTAAAACGTTGAGCCCCATTTAGCTCTATGGATTGTACAAATATGCGTTACTGACATCACACTAATGCTTTTAGTGTTAACATATGGTTTAAGGGTATTTTTTGTTTGTTTTTGTTTTTAGATTTGCATTAAAAGAAAAACAATCCACTAAACATAACTGAGTGGAGTTGGCTTGTTCACACCCATACGTGCTTGAAAACTGAAGGAAAAATGACGCACAGATTTCACGTGCAGTCAGTTTACATCAGTTTTCAATTCGTTTTATACATGTTGCAGATTCCTGCATAGAAAAAAATCTGCATGTGACACCAGTGTTGTGGTGCGAACAGGGCACATGGAGAACAATTGTTTTTTTATTTTTCCCTTGCAGAAATTGGGCAGAAAAAATGACGTCTCTGCACCATGGTGTGAATGAGCCCTTATAGGTTTGTGCACACTGTAAAAGGAATCAATGGTAAACCTGGTTTGATTACTGAATCATGTGCTGAGGAAAAAAAAAAAAGGCTTTCTATAGCACGTGATAGGTTGATTTGAAGTGAACACAACATCCGCTTATTTACTAATCTTAGTAAACATTCGCTGCCAAATGTTTAGGCAGCCTATGTAAGTGTATAGGAATGCAGTAGCACTATGGACACAACCACCCGCCTTAATTTGCCAGGAGTTCAGTTTAGCAAGCTTGAACACCGGGGTTTTTTTTTTTTTTTTTTTTTTTACTAAAGCTGGAGAGTGCAAAATCAGGCTCACTTCTGCATAGAAACGAGTCAGCTTCCAGGTTTTATTGCCAAAGCTTAATTGAACAAGCTGAGGTTAGAAGCTGATTTGTTTTTTATGTAGAAGTGAGTCTGATTTTGTACTCTCCAGCTTTAGTAAATAAACCCCACACTGTCTGTGCATTTCTAGCAACCTATGTACAGTGGCTAGCCAGCCCCTCCTGACAACCGTGATCTGCCCTCACTGCATAGAGTAAACAGAGACACAGTAATAACACTGGGTCTAAAATAAGGTACCGTATTTTTTCGCTCCATAAGACGCACTTTTTTCCCCCAAAAAAAGGGGGGGGAAAAATGTCAGTGCGTCTTATGGAGCGAATATGGAGCGGCCGGTCCGGTATTTCCACCTCCGCCGTGTCAGAATACCGGGCCGGCCGCTCAGCTCTACAGCGGGACCTTAGAGATGACTGCTGACCTTTGGGAGGGAGGGGGAGCGGGTACCTGAATTTGACAGGTACCCGCTCCCACTTCCGTGGAGTTGTTCTTTCATCTTACCCATTCCTCTATCCAGCGGCGCGGTCTTCCCGGCTTCTGTAGTGTGGGCATGACAGCCGGGTGGTCAAGTGCGCATGCGCAAGAAGCAGTGCTTTTTGTGAATGGTAAGGCGGCACCTGGGACACATGACAGATCCCAGAAGCTGCCGGACCAATCACAAAGCGCAAGTGCTTCTCGCTCATGCGCACTGGGCACCCGGCTGTCATGCCGAGCGCCATTACAGAAGCCGGGAAGACAGCGCGCGGCTGGATAGAGGAACAGGTAAGATGAAAGAACAACTCCGCGAAAGTAAGAGCGGGTACCTGTCAAATTCAGGTACCCGCTCCCCACCTCCCCAAAGGTCAGCAGTCATCTCCTGTACTATCCAAAGTCTCTGGTCATCTCCTGTACTGTCCGCAGTCTCTGGTCATCCCTGTACTGTCCGCAGTCTCTGGTCATCCCTGTGCTGTCCGCATGTGCTGTGTCTGTCGCAGTCTCTGGTCATCCCTGTGCTGTCCGCAGTCTCTGGTCATCCCTGTGCTGTCCGCAGTCTCTGGTCATCCCTGTGCTGTCCGCAGTCTCTGGTCATCTCCTGTACTGTGTCCGCAGACTCTGGTCATCTCCTGTACTGTGTCCGCAGTCCTCTGGTCATCTCCTGTACTGTGTCCGCAGTCTCTGGTCATCTCCTGTACTGTGTCCGCAGACTCTGGTCATCTCCTGTACTGTGTCTGCAGACTCTGGTCATCTCCTGTACTGTGTCCGCAGACTCTGGTCATCTCCTGTACTGTGTCCGCAGTCTCTGGTCATCTCCTGTACTGTGTCCGCAGACTCTGGTCATCTCCTGTACTGTGTCCGCAGTCTCTGGTCATCTCCTGTACTGTGTCCGCAGTCTCTGGTCATCTCCTGTACTGTGTCCGCAGACTCTCTGGTCATCTCCTGTACTCATCATCCTGTACTGTGTCCGCAGTCTCTGGTCTGTCTCCGTATCAGTCTCTGTCCGCAGTCTCCCTGTACTGTGTCCGCAGTCTCTGGTCATCTCCTGTACTGTGTCCGCAGTCTGGTCTCTGTCATCCCCTATACTATGTCTGCAGTCCATTAGTTCAGAATTTTTTTTTTCCTGTTTGCTGGCCTCTAAAACCTAGGTCTTATGGTCAGGTGCGTCTTATGGAGCGAAAAAAATACGGTATGTAATAAAACTGGAAAGGTTTTATTTATACAGTTAATTAGCATGTGGATAATGGGGGAAATGAGAAACTAGGGGAGGCAAAATATAGGCAGATTAAGCTTCAGCTTTAATCATCCATATACTCCCAGTTATATACCAGATGTCCAAAAATGAGGAGGGGTCAAACCTATTTGAAATATTTGCAGTGATGATGAGCTAAATTTGGGTACATTCACCTGATGGAATATCCATAAGTGCAAGATCATTCTGACAGTTCTTATTAAATACTGTAAGCATTCAGTAAAAAAAATCACCATCTAAATGTGATAAATTCTTATGTGGACCTACCCTGTTCTGTATAACAGATAAAATAAAGGACAAAACTAGAATTGTTCAGTACCCTAATGACTCAGAGAATAAAATAAATGTGTAATAGAGGGGGAAGAAAAAGCTTAAATTTTACAACCATAAATATTTTAATCATTTTATGCTATTTATTTTGCACACCCATGAGAGAATAGTTCTGTCCATAAAATATATTGCTGGGCACGGCCCTGTTCATTTCTGGTGGTCATGACCAGCACATTGAGCTTGTTTCTTATCTCTGGTATAATGCAATTAATTTTTGTGTCATGTTTGCTAGTGTGGCTGAATATAGAACAGTTTGCTTAGAAACACTTCATCGAGCCATTCTGTACATTTCCTCTATTGGCACTGTGTCCTAGGAAGTATCATTTAGAAATGTTTATTAAAAGCAAACGATAGAATGTTGTATAGTTCCTGTACCATATTTGAAAATAACATTACATTTTTGCTACGTTATAAAAAGTAAAAAATCTATGTTTTTGTGTGTTTTTTTTTAATTTTGCCATTATTTCATTAAAGATGTTATTCTGCTTTTCATTTTCTCAAAATTGTGTAGTAAAATTCAGATTTCTCCAATGATTGTGACTTCTTGAAATGTGATGTTTTTTTAAGAGAACATTTTTTTTTTTTTTTTTTTTTTTTTTTTTTTTTTTTATAGAGAGAGCAGTGACTTTACTAGTGAAGAAACCATTATCTTAGCCAAATGTGTTTATAACTATTGTTGTAATTTGGTGTCTTAAAGCCGAACTTTACCTATAAAAACTTGATAATGTTCTTTAGCAAGGATCTTGCATTTCACATTAACAATTATGCTACCAAAATTAGTATGTGCTGTAAATTGCCTTCATTCTTCCTGTTTTACGTGCTGGAGGCTGCCATTTTGCTGAAGCCCAGAGTCCCTGAGCAGAAGTAAATCTTGAGGCTGTCATCAGATTGCCTCTACTTTTTTGGCATAGTGTCGAAAAATAGAGAGTAACTGAGCATGTACAGAGCAGGGTGAGACTGTTTATTAATGGATTTTAAACCGTATATGCACTTTTACTTAGGTATACCTGCAAAAGGAGCCAGCCTGAAGTGATCTAGCAGGACTTCATTTTCTGACTAAAGTTCTACTTTAAATGGACAGGCAATACACCCCAGTACAACAAAAACCAAACCCCTTTTTTCTTTTATTTATTTTTTTTACACAACACACAGATGACATCTAGCTGTACATTTATCTATTTGTACACGTAACTGTGTGCATTGTAGTGTGCTGCAATGCATATGTATCAAAGTTCATTTGCAAGGTGCTGAGATGTGCAAAATGTCGTTGCATCGGCAATATTACATTGCAGGAACACAGTTACCGTGCATTTGTGCAATATACAGTTGTGATGCCAGTCTAAAAGAAATTGTCCCTTATTTTGAAGTATACTTTTTATGGTTTGACATAATATATCTATGAAAGAAATATTTTACTCTGTTTTGTATAGGTTGATTTCTCATTTATTAACCGTGATATTCTATGAGATAAGACACTTGAACAACTCCAGTCAGAAAATGGTATAGCTTCTAATGGTGAAACGGTTTAGTTGGAACTTTAAATATAACCCATTCATTTGGACCATTACTCTCCTGTTAACAGAGCTTAATGGTGGATAATGTAAGGGCTGATATACCTCTTCTAGAGAAAATGCTGCTCCAGATTTCTTCAGTGCTAGTCACATGGGCAAAGGGTCTAGGGCAGGGTGGGCAAACTTTTTGACTTGAGGGCCGCAATGGGTTCATATATTGGACCCGGGGGCCGGACCAAGAGTAGATGAATGATGTGTATGTGTCATCCATAGTAAGTATAGTAATATTCCCCCATAGTAAGCATAGTAATTCATCCCCCATATAGTAATTCATCCCCCATATAGTAATTCATCCCCCATATAGTAATTCATCCCCCATAGTAATTCATCCCCCATAGTAATTCATCCCCCATAGTAATTCATAATTCATCCCCATATAGTAATTCATCCCCCATATAGTAATTCATCCCCCATATTAATTCATCCCCCATATTAATTCATCCCCCATATAGTAATTCATCCTCCATATAGTAATTCATCCCCCATATAATTCATCCCCCATATTAATTCATCCCCCATATTAATTCATCCCCCATATAGTATTTCATCCCCCATAGTACTATTCCCCCCCAAGTAGTAAGCCAAGTCCCCCCGTGTCAATTTACTTACCTTTGCTCCGCGCGTTCCTCTCGCCGTGTTCCCGCGCCGTTCCGGTCTTCAGGGCGGACTGTGAGAGGAGCCTAGCTCCCCTCACGTTCGTCACGCTGCCCCGCCTACACTCATCCTGACAGCCATCCTGACAGTATCACGCTCCGCGGGCCGGATTAAAAGGTCCGCCGGGCCGTATACGGCCCACAGGCCGTAGTTTGCTCATTGCTGGTCTAGGGCCTTCTCTAAAGCGCCTGTTTTTAGCTGTTTCAAACACAGATTACTAGATTTGCATCTCTTTCTTAGGCTGGCCATAGACGGGCAAATTGTCGGCCGATAAACTACTAAAAATCGGTCTTTGCCTTTGCCGATGCTGCCACCAATGTCTACGAAAAACACGGCCGTTTTTTGTGAATTTTCCAGCATGACCGATAAAAAGAAACAAGAAGATCCACGAAAAACGACTGACGGCATTGCCCCACTAACGGTGTGAATTTCGTGCAGACGAAAATTCGGCTGATAAATGACCCATCTATGGCCTGGATTAGGCTGCAAGCAAAGTAGCAATTTTGTTTCAGCTAAAAAAAATGCTGGTAATTGCATTTCAGTAGTGTTCAGAAGCGTTTATTTCAGGTACTTATATAGCTCCGTCAATTTACGCAGCACTTTACATATATATTATACATTCACATCAGTCCCTAACCCTCAAGGGGTGTACAATCTAAGGTCCCTAACTTACATTCATACATACACATACTAGGGACAATTTAGACAGGATCCAATTCACCTACCAGCATGTCTTTGGAGTGTGGGAGGAAACCAGAATACCCAGAGGAAACCCACGCAGGCACAGGGAGAACATGCAAACTCCAGGCAGGTGGTGCCGTAGTTGGGATTCGAACCAACGACCCTGGTACTGCCAGGCGGAAGTGCTAACCATTTAGCCACTGTGCTGTTTAGGAGCGTTAGCTTCTTACAGTACATATAGAGGGGGAAAATGCTAGAAAAAAACTGTTAGGAGCATTTTAGTGGCATTTAACAGCGTTTAAGAGCATTTAGCAGTTTTTTTTCTGCTGGAAAAACACTCCAAAAAACTCTACAAAAACAATTTTTTTTTCTGCTTCTAGACATTGAAGCTCAAAAAATGCTAATAGCCTAAAGTAGTGTGTATGGACACATAGGATAACACTATTTAGCTTCTAGGTGCTTAAAAAACGCTAGGTGTGCATGGAGCCTAAATGTCAGTTTTTGAGCACATCTGTTCTAAAAATCTTCAGTCCCCTAAACTTGACTCTGCTTAATATACCCAAATGAACTCTCTATGTCAAGAAATAATAGACCCAAACGATACCAAGCAGTTAGAGGATTGGGCCCAAATTTGGTCTGTCATTTCCAAATGCTCACTGAATGTTTTCTCACAGGAATCCACAAATAGAAGATGGTACCTGATGCTCCACACCTACAGGATAGCCTACCTTAACTGCACATACTTTTAAAACTTGCTTCAGTTGTAGCATGGAGGGAAATGTAATATTGTACATGTAAAATGTACAGATATTTATGCTATTCCATAGACAAGTCTTCTGGCACCCCTGGCATGCACTGTATGCACTGTTGCATATTAATCTGGTCCAGTTAGATTGATTCCAGCAGAACTGGTGGACTTTATATTGTTAGCAGCTAAACATACCATTGCTAATTTCTGGAAAAACAAACTATTCCTTATGAAGAGAGTGCCCTTATGAGACTTTTGTATCTCATTCCTTATGAAGAGTTTAAGGCTTTGTTCACACCAATGTATTTTTTAGTGCTTCTTGCAGAAACGCACAACAGTCATTTAACATGGTTTCCTATGGAACATGTTCACATCTATGCTTTTTTGAGCTGCTGCATTTTTGGAAAAGCAAAAAGCAGCGTTTTTGCTACAGTAGAGTTCAATGGAGAAGCTGCTGAAATGCATGGTAGTGCATTTTTTCCATGTTTTGCATTTTTATGCTGTCCAGCAACAAAAAAAAATTCCACTTTTAACAAAAAAAAAGAGCTGAGCAAAACGCGATAAAAACACATCAAAACGTGTAGAAAAAAATGCAAAAAAAAACTGCTAAAAGCACCGGAGAAACCATCAAATGCAAAATACATATATGTGAACCAAGCCTAAGCAAAGATTAGATAGGTTGTGGATAAATGAGCAACAATCCAGCATACTAAAATTCCCATGATAACTTTGAGAGTTTGGATACCCTGGCTTCCCAGTAACCTTCCCTTACTAGATCACACTTCATTTACCTTGACATACCTGACCTGATGTTTACGGGCCCTCTTGGGGCAGCCGCTTACCCTCCCCCTTATATATTTATT